TGGACTTATTGCGTTGAGTGGGGGGAGTCATCTGTAGAATTGAGAGTTTTTAGAAAAGTTCTTTAAGCTTTGTAGCTTTTTCATCTATCATTTCCAACCAAGCAGCAAGAGGTCGAATGTAAGAATAAGTAATAGTTTGTCACGATTTTACGGAAAAAGTCAAAAGTATAGTATGTCTGAAAAAAAAAAAAAAAAAAAAAAAAATATATATATATGGAAAAGTCATTGTGTACAATAGTATGTTGAAAAGCAAAAACAAAAAAGAAAACTCAATTCATTACAAAATAATGAATATTTTACCAAGTTATAAAGTTTTGCATCCATTAAAGTGTAACTATAAGTATCTTTGTAGGAGAAAAAACAAAAAAAAAAATAATTTAAGTTACTTCCATAAAACTGGATTGTCTTACCTTTAAGAGTCACAGTCTTAAAGAAAATCTGTTCAGAAAAAGTACTTAACTTTCTACCAGTTGTAAAGTTGTCATACATAAAACTGTATCCAAAAAGTAAGTGAAAGACAACGGGAGAAAAAAAAAAAAAACTTCCCCTTTTAGAGTCACAGTCTTTAAGAAAATACATTTTATTACAAAATAATTGACATTCTACCAGTTGCCAAATGTTCCTACATTAAAGTGTTTCAAAAAAGTATCTTGGTAGCTGAAAATAACTAAAATATCAGAGAAAACCTACATTATTTAACTGTACAAGTGTTTTTAAAAATAAAAAACGGGGTATTAAAGAAACCCCCATTCCTTACAAAGTACTTCATATTATACCCTTTTGTTAAGTGTTGCATACATCAAAAGTGTATCTAAAAGTATCTTGGTAACACAAGAAAAGAGAAAAAAAAGTAAATAAGTGTTAAAAATCACAAAACTTGCCTTTTAGAGAAACAGTCTTTAAGAAAAATCTAATCAGACAATGTACTTCATTTTCTAGTTTTAAGGTTTTGCATACCTCAAAGTGTGTCTAAAAGTATCTTGGCATGAGAAAAAAGCCAAAATCTGCCTTGTGTCAGTGAATAAGTGTTAAAATCACAAATTTATAGATAAGCTAGAGGCTATTTTAGATTTGTCAATTAGAGTTAAAGGGTTAAATAACATTTTCAAACTGCTGTTCATAGTTACTGGATACATAACGAGCCTCATCATTATCTCGATTTTCTACTTCCATTTTTTTTTAAATTTAACAGTGAAACGTCTTATTTTAGCACAGTCTAGTCAGAGGAGTTAATACTATTCCTATATATGAAAGCAAAAAATAAAACACATTTTCATTTGTTATGGTTGTTTAATTGAAAAACACACCATTCGCCACATCTTCAGAAAGACATATTACATTTGACCAAGTTAATGTCGTAGTGCATACAAGGTAATAGACTTAACGATTTGCACTGCTGCCTCTCTCCGCGTTTCATTTACAGTTATCGGTTTATCGTTCAATTCACATTGCCCAAGTAGATGTTTAGGGGTCTCTTGGAAGTAAATGAATGCATTTTTTATATCAGATAAGTGCATTAACATCACTTGCAAATTCTCTATCCTTTCACCCGCAACGATTATAATCTGCTTTGCTTCTTCTTTGGTTTCACCATTATTAGCTCTGAATGTAATCCTTTCTGGGACTTCTTGTGCTTCTTGTGGTCTGTTGAATACCTGGCATAGGATTTGTTTAGCTGTAAGGACGGGTACCATATAATTGTCTTCAAAAGCTGGAAATTCTTACAAGTTCCCCCTCCTCAAAGTTCATTCCCGTAGCACCTTTCCCCCACTGATGCTAGTGACCCCCCTTTGTATGCTAATTACCCCCTTTGTTCGAGGCGTTATCACATGTAGGTGTGTTCAGTTAAACACTGAGATTTTCAACATACTACTCTACAAAATGATTTTTTTTTCATATTCTTTTGACAAACTATACTTGACTTTTTTACGGAAAATCATGACACACTTTAATTTGACTTATTCTTAATTTTACCATACTAAAGTAAGACTTGAAAATACTATATCGTTTTCTAGTTTTTTATATTATACATCCTTATTTATGTTAGTGTGCTGAGAAAACACAATAAGCAATAGCGTTTTAACAAGCAGTTTAAACTGTCTGTGTCAGTTTTACTTATCTCCATATTAAGTGATTATATAATATGACAGTGATCATTTCTATGTTTATTCATTGCAAATACTTAGTTACTTACCACTTGAACTGTTTAGCTCTTCAAGGTTAACTGACCCAATATATACACTTTTTTGTAGTATTGTCACCACGTTCTTAAGAATTATATGGACGAGTTGGCAGCTGCCATGGCTGGACTGTCAATCAAAAGTTACCAGTTATCAAGCGATGGTATGGACAACTTAACAGCTGACTTGGCTAGACTTACTATGAGGAGTCAGCAGGTAACAGATGAGTGTGTGAATGAAATAACAGCTGCCTTCAGAGGACTCTCCACTAATGCACAGCAGCTTCCTGTTAGTGCCTGCACTGAGAATCCTCAAATACAGAGACAAGTCACTTTGTCCACGCTCCCTGAGACCCTCAAGCCCACTAATGCCCAGGTGAATAATATTGACTTGTGTTAGTTTTACTTAAACTTACTTACATTAAGTGATCATAATATGACAGTGATAACTTCTATGTTTATGCATTGCAAATACTTAATTCTTTTTTGTTAGTTCTTTAAGGTTATATAACCATATGTTTGTCACCAGGTAACAAGTGATCAGTTGGAAAAATGTATCCCAGCCTTTGAAAAAACTCAAAGGGAGAGGACAGTGAAGGCCATGAAGCCATAGCCAAGACGTGGTGGAGTGCTGCGCAGGTATGTTCTGATGTCCTGTATGGGCTGATTGCGCATGGACATAAACGCTAGTAAAGTCTAATCTGACGGGAGAGACCCGCTGTTGCTGACGGGGGAGTTCCGGTGCTGCGGACTATTCGACATGCATCTCTGCATGCGGTGAGCGGAACAAAACACACTCGTAGATATCACACGTAGCTATTTTAATTACCTCTCAAACTACCTAAACTATTTATAGATATGTTTTAGTTTTACTGTCGAGTCACTCATTATTGGACCCGCGAGCTGCATGATACTGGCGTGTTGTCGTGAGAGGAGGGAGAGCGCCCCCGTTGTGTGTGTGTGTGTGTGTGTGTGTGTGTGTGTGTGTGTGTGTGTGTGTGTGGGGGGGGGGGGGGGGGGAGGACATGGCAAGAGCCAATTCGGGTCACACCGTCAAGTCTGTGCATTCTTAAGTGTTTTTTACAGCTAACATCTGTGGTGAGCACATTTAAAAAATAAAAAATCTTCTCTTTCCTCCAAACCTACAGCTATTTCTAATCTCATATAACTTCATATAAGGATTATTTTATTAACGGGTGATGTAATTAAACATAAAGAAAAAACCAAAATATCCCAGGGTCATTAAGATCTTTAAACTATTGTTAACCTCTTCAGAGAGACTTTCAATGAGTCAGACCTTGTGGCTTCTCCCTGTGTGTGTGTGTGTGTGTGTGTGTGTGTGTGTGTGTGTGTGTGTGTGTGTGTGTGTGTGTGTGTGTGTGTGTGTGTAGGGAAATCTCTCCGGCCAGAATGATATCCCCTTTAGCGCAATACCGCATCAGTTGCACCTCTTATGTGACATACAAGAATAGTGTGTGACAGACAAAAGATGTCCTGTATGGGCTGATTGCGCATGGACATAAACGCTAGTAAAGTCTAATCTGACGGGAGAGACCCGCTGTTGCTGACGGGGGAGTTCCGGTGCTGCGGACTATTCGACATGCATCTCTGCATGCGGTGAGCGGAACAAAACACACTCGTAGATATCACACGTAGCTATTTTAATTACCTCTCAAACTACCTAAACTATTTATAGATATGTTTTAGTTTTACTGTCGAGTCACTCATTATTGGACCCGCGAGCTGCATGATACTGGCGTGTTGTCATGAGAGGAGGGAGAGCGCCCCCGTTTTATTATTCCCGTGTTATTGTAAATTACTGTACACGTTTGAATAGTTAATTAATCTACTATAATTAGTTTGTTTAATATCGAATCATATCTAATTTTGTCCGTAAGATTTAAACTGTAACGGCCCTGCTGACCGGACAGGAGGGGGATGAGGAGGGGGGTGGGTTGAGGGAGGTGGGGGCTGAGAGGGGTGGGGGCTGGGAGGGCGGATGTGAAACCTGCTGTAAGGGGGGAGGAGGGGTGGGTTGAGAGGGTGGGGGCTGAGCGGGGTGGGGGCTGAGAAGGGTGGGGGCTACGGGGAGGATGTAACACCTGTATGTGAGGGGGAGGGGGGTGGGCTGAGGGGGGTGGGGGCTACCGGGGGGGATGTAACACCTGTACGCGATAACACCTCGAACAAAGGGGCTCATTAGCATATCAAAGGGGGGTCATTAACATAATTAGGGGGCGGGACTTAGAAGGTGTGACCTGTCACTTTTTTATGCATACTAATGAGATTGAAGCGGGATATGTAATACTACTAGCGTGGTAGTGAAACAAACAAAGGGTAGTTGGGGAGACAAAAGCAGATGTTGTCCCGCAGCTGGTACCAAGGCAAGAGAGCGAGCTCACGTTGATTCTCCCTCTTGCATCTCTCCTTCGCTCCTCCTCTCTGGGGGCTGTGACGTAGGGGGCCGCCCACCTCGATCTTCAATGTCCGAGATCGCGCATAACAGAGGATTTCGACATTTTGTATTCATTGCTCACTTCCACACGCCTTTTCTCCTCCTACTCTCTTTCATGACTTTTTATTTAATGCATTATAATGGCTGTAATCGTTACTCTCGTAATACCGGAAATGGTCATTATTTAACGGCTGAGATCGTTAGTACTGTAGCACAGGAAGTCGTCATTGTTGTCAACGTCTTTAGATACAGCTTTTCAAAATAAACTTTACTCTGAACTGTTTTCAGAATAAAACAGTTTTTAAAGCTTACTATGTGTTTACGCTAAATTACATCATTGAATATTGATTTTAATTTCTAACAAACCTCCCCACCTCCGCCGCGGTGCACCCGGCAAACACGGTTGTTTCTCGAACCCTCCACTGTTGTCTATATATATATATATATATATATATACATATGTTATAAGTGTCAGTACGATTTTATTTTGTATTTGCGTGCATTTCCTGTTCGGAAAGTGGCGCTGTACTGATAGTGGCGATTTTATTTTGTAATTCTTAGCGTGCATGCACTTCCTGTCCTGAGAGTGGAGGTGTCCTCAGAGTGGAGGTGTCCTGAGACTGGCGTCTGCAGGCAGGCTCCCATGAAATAATTAAACAAGCGAGTGCCTGTTTTTCCTGGCCAAGGTCAGGTTTCTTGAACACACACGAGCCTAACGTGTCATCACGTGGTATATGTGTAGTGTTGACGGAGAGCACCGGAATGCGGCTCCGGCACTTCAGAAATGTCAGTACGCATAAGGAGCTGTACACATGCCACAGCTTTTGCGTGGCTGTGTCATTAGTAAACATTACTATGTAAAAGGTTGCTTTCAATGAGGAGTAGAAGATAATCAAAAATAGAAGGAACAATATTAAATTAACATAGCCGGCATTTTATTAAACATTAAAAAACACAGCCACCCCTCACCTACCCCAATGTCTATCAACTGTTTCAACCTACACAAAGTTGAAATAGGAATAAAATGAATAAACAAGACAAACAATTCGAGCTCTGAAAATAAACAATCGAATAATAATAATAATCGAACCCGGGTAGTCTGTAGTTTCTCTGGTGATCCAATGATTATAAGTGTCAGGACCTCGACACAAACTGATGGACCCAAATGCACGACCCAGAGACAAAGTCTTGAATGTAAGAAAAATGTATCTTTTATTTCAAAGATCAGGTAATTCCTTTCAACAGAATGGGTACGGGAATTAACAAAAAACGCTCACAAGGAGGAAAAAACTATGCATAACAAAGAGAACTTGCCCTCCTCGGGCATTTTTGTACATTTTTCCTGACTTTTTTTTTTGATTTGGTAATCATTTCAGCTGTGTTACAGCTTTTGGCATGGATTTTTGCAAGAAGTCTTCTTTTGAGTCAAATTTTTAAAATCCAATGTCGTTTACTCTTACATGTTTTGGATACTCTCGTGATGCATTTTGCACCCTCTGGACACCTTCGTGGCAAAAATGTACATGCCCATGATAACTGCTATTAAATCCTCATACATCAATATTATTTTCTACTTTTTTTTCATGAATCACTTAAACAACTTCTAACGTACTCAAAACTACTAAATCATTGGCAGGATTTTAACCCTTTAAACGCCTGTTTCATTATTTTAATTATTTCATTTATCTCAAAAATGCCTCATTGACTTCCATTCAGACCACATTTTTTGATCTCACTGCCATTGCAGTATAAAACCATGCATTTTGTAATTTAATTTCATTTAGAAGAAAGGTAGTGATATTTGATATTCTACTCTATTCCACCAGATTAAACCATTTTCCCACTGTAGGCCGATGCATGATATTCTTAAATTTTTGCCAGTTATATTATGGAGTCGTGTGACTACCAGGGGGCCCCGAGAGTGCGTATGTGTGTGTGTGTGGGTGTGTGTGTGTGTGTGTATGTGTGTGTGTGTATATATGTGTATATGTGTGTGTGTGTGTGTGTGTGTGTGTGTGTGTGTGTGTGTGTGTGTGTGTGTGTGCGTGCGTGTGTGTGTGTGTGTGTGTGTGTGTGTGTGTGTGTGTGTGTGCGTGTGTGTGTGTGTCATTTCCAGCAGCAGACCAGCAGGTCCTGCAGCATGTGACCTGGTGCTCTCTCAGGTGATAGAACAACTATTTTGTAGGCCTGTGCACAACCAGCACACACCTCTCCTCCCTCTCCGTGTGTGTGTGTGTCTGTGAGAATCTGTAAGCATGCACGGATCATTTCATGGGTAAAAAAAGGCCATCTTTTGAAGGATGTGTTTGATGTGTCTTTGAAGAGCTGCTTGATTGCTCAAAAACTTTCCAAATTGTCATGAAGCTGTTCATAACTGCTGTAGTGACAAGGCAAACGCAGGATGTGGAAGCAGGTAGAAGATGTTGGATGGTCTCCTTGCATCACCTCCATTTGCATGTACGGCATTGGCAGCTCCCAGCTCACCCAGAATTTCACCAACTGCTTCCGCTTGTCTTCAGTCACTGAATAAGGGAGATGTCAAAGAAAAAGAGGAGAACAACTGTTACATATACATCCAGAGGAGCATATAGACAAGCTCAGTCATAAAAACATTTCCCATGTGATATCTGAATATCTAATGCAGCATCACTGTACTAGGAGATCTGAAGTTGTTCATTTGCAAATGGATTGATAATTCATAACTCACTACAATATCTCTTTTATGATGTAGTAATGACTAAATGTTGTATAAGTATAGCAATATAAATAAGTATGAAGTATATACAGCAAATTGACTGTATAGAACCTAACAATTTCCTCTCATTCACCAATAACACATGCGCTCACCAATAGCCATCACGCAAGGTGCTGGCCTGAGCGTCACAAACAATGTAGACATGAGTCTTGCTTTTAACCCTTTTCACAGTTAAACAATAGAGCAGTTTGGCACATGTGTTGCAAGAAAAAAGTTAATAAATAGTTTTTATAAAAAACAAGTGATTTTTAACTAATGTTCTCCTGAAGCTTAGATGAAAAATGTTGCATAAGAATACAGTTGTGATATGGCTTTCAACATGTTCGATAATGAACTTGCAGATCCTCAGACAACCAGAAGAGCACAAAATCGAAATACCTGTCTCCACAAATTGCCGCAAGTAGCCAGCAATTCTGCATTTGATGGCAACAGGACATCCATCGTCATCTTCATTATTCCCTTCTCCAGGCCAGATGATGTTGTTTAGAACCATTTAAATGTAACATTCACAAATATTAAAAGAAAGCCAAAATGGGTACAATGTCAATTAATTGAAAAATATTAAAATTGTATCAATATAAAACAGAATACCTGAGCACTGCATTCAGCCTTAGATTGAGGTGGGAAGTGTAAGAGTCGGGAGGAGCTGATAATTTATTCCGGCAAATTACTCAGACCTACTAATTGACCTAACAGAAGTTATTGAGTCTATGTAAGTTTACTGCTTGGCTCAGATCCACCAACATCAGCAAAATCTCACCTCTATTAACTCTTGAAGAACCAGGTTCAATTAACTGCTGTTTCAATTCAGACGACCCTCTTAATCTGTTTAAGCGATCCCGAAGGATTTTGATATCAGTAAATGAGGTGTGGCCCTACCTAAGTGTGAGTGTGGCAGTGTGCAATCTTACCTTTGAAGCAGGAGAGGAGAGCACAGATGTCTTTTAAGTTGTCCCAGTCCAAAAGGTGGGATCAGTTTATTTGAAGAAAAATAGGTCCAAACTTATACAGGGTTTTTACCTTCTCTCGTTACAACATTATAATCATACTAAACATATCATGCTGGGGTTATTTTCTAATCTAAAACCTTAATTCATAGTTCACACATTAAAAGTTTTCCGACAAAATCCAAAAGGAATTTCCTCACAGATCGACGGGGTTAACATCCACACACTATGGCCTGACACATGTAAGAGGTCAGTTCCTTAAAATGTTCAGATTGAATTCTGACAGAACCCAGAGGGATTTCCTCATGGATCGAAGGTTCTAACATTCACAGCCTATAGCCCGACACATTAAGAGGTCAGCTCCTCAGAATGATCAGTTTTGAATTCCGACAGAACTCAGATGGATCGAAGGTTCTAACATTCACAACCTATAGTCCGACACATTAAGAGGTCAGCTCCTCAGAATGATCAGTTAGAAATCCCCTTAAAATGATAAGTTTGAATTCCGACAGAACCCATAGGGATCGAAGGTTCTAACATTCACAACCTATAGTCCGACACATTTAAGAGGTCAGCTCCTCAGAATGATCGGTTAGAAATCCTAGTTTTTAAAAACCTTCATCCAACCATTCACTCAGCATTCAATCCACAGAGATTTAAGCAATAGTTACCAAGTTTGAGAGAACCTTACCGAGGCGAAAACCCAGCTCTCCAGGGAGAGAGCTTTACCGGGAGAGAGTATACCAGGGGAACCCCCCCCCCCCTCTATCTCTCTCGTTTGCTCCCTCTCTGTCAGTGTCTTTATACTCAAAAACAGGATAGAAAAACCTAAAGACACCTCCTCCATACCCATATTTGTGGAAACTGGGCATGGCCTCTGATGTACAGGACTGGACATGACCAGACATATTCTCTGGCTATGGCATAAGACACACCTTCCCATGTTTGTGTAAAAAGGACATGACCCCTACTCTGCAGGACTTGCAAAATATTATCCTCAGCTATGACATAACCACCTTTTTGGGGCCTCAGTTAATTTTCACTAAGTCAGGAGCCCCCACTCCTTGTGCACCGCTGAGAGAAAAAAAAAAAAAAAGGAAGAAACTGTCCTCTCTCTTATCAGTGACACCCATAAACCATAATAGGCCTTACACACTCAATTTAACAAACCACTTGGTTTATACTGTAAATATAGAAAATCATAAAATATGAAGAATATAATTGATTATATTTGATTATAATTTACTTTCGTTTTAAGTATTCAACCTAATATGAAGATCTCAACAGAAGACAACGTCTACCACATCTGGTCTGGCTTCCAACAGTGGCCACAACATTGACTCTTGCAGTCCCTTCCTCAACTGTTTAATTTGTTACGTATGTTTAAGATAAAATAATTTTTCCTAAAACATCCACATTAGCATATGCACCAAGGATAGCTTACAATGCATGCTAGGCTAGTAAAGTATTGCACATTCAGCTGAACTAAGTTTATGGGGAAAAAAACACAATAAGCAATCCCTTTTCTTAATTATGTAAAACGTAGTGGTCATTTAACCTTACCGCATGCAGAAGGAGACTTTGTAGGAGCCAAGCTTGGTTGGTTTCTGTCAATACAGGAAGGTCCCAAGATAATGCCAAATCATTGACAGCTCCCCTCTGATGCTCTGTCAGCTCATTGTCTCCTCTCTCACCATTTGCCTTCTTGGAGCAATCAGCTAGAGAAAGC